ATGGTGCCCCAGAATCTTTTAAATGGAGGGCAGTCCCACCTTATATGGGTCATATTCCCTTTTTGAGTTTGGCATTTCCTGAGGACAATCTGTGCGAGAGCATGAAGGGCTTTTACCAGCCGTACGACGGCTGAAATCAGCCGTACATCGGCTGCCTTTGGTCAGCCGAAGTGCAGAGGGACTTAGGTAACTAAATAAATAAAAAATATTAACTATTAAAAAATGAATATTTAATTTTTTCAAAAAAATATTTAAAAAATGTAAACAAATAGTAAAAATTAAACATAAATAAAGATATTTAAATAAAGAAAAAAAGAAAAAGAAAAACAATTGGGTGGAGCTAGCAGTGACATCTAGCTCCGCCCAACTGTTTCCTATTGGCCAGCACCTGCTAGAGTCTTCTAGCAGATCCTGGGCAATGAATACCAACTGGGCGGAGCCAGCCATGATGTCACGGCTCCGCTCAGTTTTTATTGTTTAATGACAGATCAGCGTCCCCAGATCATTTGAGAACGCTGAGTTGTCATTACAACTGGGCTGAGCGAGTCGTTAAATTATTCTAAGCTTTCTCTGTGACCTACAAAACACCTCGCCCTATGATAGGGAGATGAGGAGAGGGGGAATTACGTTGTCCTGTCCTAGGCTGACAATGCTGCTCCTCCATAAATACAGTATAGTGAGCGAGCATTGTCACCCTAGGACAGGAAATGTGTTACTGGCAGGATCACCAGGTGATAATAAAAGGAAAAAACCTGAAAATAGAAAACGAATGCAGCCACCATATCTAAAGACTGGAAAACGGCAATGTTACATTATTTAGCACTCTGTTCCTTGCTTAGAATTTTTATTATAAGCTGACAAATGAACAAATTCTTTTTTTTTAAATACAATTTACACTTAACAGCTTATAATAAAAAAAAAACGTTTTAGATTCTTAACAGCCTGCATATCACTTTAATAGCTGCAGTCTGCCAACTTCTTCTGTGAAGGTGTCTGGCTGTATGTGATGCAGTCATGTGGTAACATGACTGAGAATCGTGCTGATTGGTTCCTGATTCCTGTCAGGTCACAAAATGAGCAGCTAGCACAGGTGCCTATCACATACCTGGTGGGGGACCGATTAGCTGGGGAGGCCTCCCTTGCGGCTCTTGTCTCACACCCCTCGCAGTGGGAACAGGGAGCGAGTAGACAGAGAGGAGCACGTGTGCCAAGGTGCTGAGACACGGTGCCTTGTAGAAGTCCAGCCACTGGGTCCCTGGAAGGATGAGCAGGGCTGGTTGACAGCTGATATGTCAGCGTGGATAGCAGTGAAAACTGGAGCGATGTCAAACAAGCCAGGGGACAAGGCCAGACCGTCAGCAGGGTACAGAAGGAGCAGGCAGAGGCACAATCCAGATAACAAGCAGAGGTGCGGGCAGGTAGCAATCGATCAAGGTCAGCAGCAATCCGGGTCAAGGCAACAGGCAAACAAAATAGCAGAAACACAGGAACACAGGGCACAAGCTGAAAGACCATTCAGCACTGACCCATTGGGCCAGCCGGTTTAAATAGGACCATCCATTAGAGAGCAACGTGTCACTTCCTGTGCGCCATTTACCACTGAGAGCGTGTGCACACTAGCGCACGTTTTGTGGCAACTCAGAAGGCTGTGGGTACTCCTAGAATGAGATCCTAATAGGTTGGACTTGATGGACTAATGTCTTTATTCAGCCTCAAATACTATGTAACTATGTAACTCGCGCATGAGCAGTAGCACGCAAACTTCTGGCTACGACCTTACAGTGCCAGCAGCTAGTTCTGCCATAGAACTTTTTTATGTATACGAGGTGTAGGACGATGTGCTTAGGGACAGACAAATACAGATTGCCGGTGGAAAAGGTTTAGTAAATTAAACCTCCTTTTAGAAAAGGAAAGTATGCATAGCGGTGTCAGAATAGAGCAGGCAGGGAAGGTAATGAGCCTCTCCTGTAAATTGTTCTGCTGTGTGTAGTTTCAGCTACTGTGCTCTGTAAACAGACCTTTTCAGTATAGCGGTTCAAATTAACAAACGTTTTAAAAGGAGCCTACGGTGTCACCTATTAGCTCAAATTTAAATACAAAATATGCATACAGCATAAATTATTTCATATCACTTGATTTAAAAATATAAACATTTGACAAACTTTAGTTGCTCTCTGCCGTGACAGGGGAGGGGCTGGATTCCCCCCTCCCCGCTCCAATCCGCAGGGCTGACTGGCTCTGCCTCTAGATAGGCAGAGCCAGCTGTCACTCACGCAGCTGGGCGGATCTCGACATCGTTGTCGGGATCCGCTTCGGCTGCGGCGTCTAAGTACAGCTCGCGGTATACTGAGCTTAGAGTAGTGGGAGGACGCTAGTTTGTGTCCTCCGGTTACCCTAAGGAGAACTATGGGGAAAAGTCCTGACCCCATAGTTCTCCTTTAAACAGAAGACATACAAAAGAAAAAAACAAACTCTAGGGGGTCCATTTATAACTATCTGATATTGCTACCTGCTCTCCGTTATACTCAGCAGTACTGCTGCATGTAATGGCTTTCATTGTGCAACCCATTCATAAAATGCAGCTTGTGATGTGGAGCCTGGGATGTCCTGTGGAGCTCTCTTTGCTATTATCACTTTCCTGGGCACAAAAGGATGATTTTCATGGTTCCACCCACTTGCTTTACGTGGAGCGATACTTGAAATGTAAAGTCTGGCTATCTAACAGGAATTCATTGGCACAGTTTCATGGGACAAAGAAAATCTGTTAAAAATGTATCCTGAGCATATAAATCCCAATTAGAAGCAGCAGAGCACTCTCATACCTGGGGCAGTGCCTAGACAAGCATTTCAGATACTTTTTTTCAGTCACAGCACCCATTAAAAGTATGCAAAATCTTGAGGAACCCCAGTCTAAAATGTAAAAACTGCCACGTACAAATCTATACCAGACCCTTTTCCGAGATAGGGGTCTGGTATGGATTGTAAGGGGGGATTCTAGGCAAAAACACAAAAAAGTGGGGGGTTCCCCTTTATATTAGAGTCCACACTTCACAATAGAACCCCCACTATCACATCGGAGTCCTCCTCCATTCACATCAGGAGCCCCCTTCACATCAGGAGCCCCCTCCTTTGACATCCAAGTCTCCTCCTCTCACACTAGAATATTTATTTAGGGAAAGTGTTTTGGCTCCCTTTTTTTTTTCACCTCCCAAAACACATGACCGGTGATCCTGCCTCATGGCTCCAAAATCCCCCTTCTATAAAGACAGTTTTCATATCTTACATTGATAAAACTGGCTAAGCTAAAAATAGGTGTATACAGTATGCTTTGAATGAAAGACAGTTAGTTGGGATAGAGGGGGTGTCGGGATTGGAGCCTCTGCTGGTTTTTTTTTTACTGTGTATGAGCCCATAAATGAGATGTCCTTTCTTGACTGGGAATCACGGGCACAGGAAGTTGTCTCTAAAATGGGCTTTTGAAAACTCAACGTTATGTCGTCTTACAGGTGATTTTAGATCACCAGGCTAGGGGGAAGGCATTTGCCAGGCACTTGCTTAAAACAAACCTATCCAGTCCCCAAACTGCAGCCCATGGGCTAAATGGGCCTCTGCTGGCCCTTTCCTCCCTCTGACACAAACAATGGGGCACTATTCCTCCTACTGTCACCAATGATGAGGTACTATTCCTCCTGCTGACACCAACAATGAGTCACTATTTCCCCTACTGATGCCAATGATGGGGCATTATTTCTCCCAAATGACACCAATGATGGGGCACTATGTCTTCCACTGACATCAATGATGAGGTGATTTTCCTCTCACTGACACCAACTTTGAGTTACTATTTCTCCCACTGACACCTGTGATGGATCACTATATCTCTCACTGACACAAATGATGGGGCACTATTCATCCAACTGATATCAATGATGAGTTGCTATGTCTACCACTGACACCAATGATGAGGTGATATTCCTCTCACCGACACCAACATTGAGTCACTATTTCTCCCACTGACACCAATGATGGTGCACTATATCTCTCACTGACACAAATGATGGGGCACTATATCTCTCACTGACACAAATGATGGGGCACTATTCATCCAACTGATATCAATGATGAGTTGCTATGTCTACCACTGACACCAATGATGAGGTGATATTCCTCTCACCGACACCAACATTGAGTCACTATTTCTCCAACTGACACCAATAATGGGGCACTATATCTCCCACTGACACCATTGATTGGTCACTATATCTCCCACTGACTGGTCACTATATCTCCCACTGACACCAGCAATGCAGCACTATTTATCCACCTGACATCAATAGATCGGGCACTATTTCCCCCACATATGAGGGTATAGGCACAAGCTTCCCAGAAATCAACACTGGGTACAATGTTGAAACATTATTTCTCCCCCGTACTTACCACAGATGCTAGATAATTTTTTTTACTCCCATTGTATTTTCCTCTTCCTCTGGCCACAGTCTGGCCCCCCTAAAGTCTGAAGAGAAATGAATTGGTTTGATTTGGAAGGTTCGCAGTTGACATCCTCATCCATACATTATTCAGTGGATCATGAACTGGAAGAAGTACTCAAGTGTCGGATTGTCCATTCTGAAAGGTTTCTTCAGATGAATAAGTCAAGTCTTTATTTTTTAAACTCAACCTACACTTCACCAACTGACTGTGCAATCTTTGTACAATAAATCTCCCTTAGATTCACCAAAACTATGTATCATGGGGACCTACCATATCCACCAATTTGTATCCAACCAAGCAGACCCTTGTCCTATACAGTTGTTGGTAGATCTAAAGGAGATTGTACAGTTGAGTGTAAGGTGTAGGCTGAGCTTTATAAGGCGGAGATGAGGCATGGAAACATTATGTGCCTTACTTTATAGTATTCTGTTGACCTTTTCATATTCCTATTGATCCAAGGCAACCTGACTGGTCATCCAACCATGCACAATAAAACACCACCACCATTCGACAGTGCAATAAAAGACTTTATTGGCTCTATATACAATAAGCTGTCAGCCATTTTTTTGTCAATACATTCATCATAAATAAAGGGCAGACCGTAGGTATATTAAGCACGTGTTACAAAGTGAGGTAACAGGAGGCAGCGCTGGGCTCAGTAGTGTTTCGTCTGCTGTTGCCTGTTTGCCATGTGCATGAGTCTCAGGAGGAGGTCGCTGGCTGATCCGTCCATCTGGGTCATGTTCTGATCCGGAGAAACTCGCTGTCTCTCCCTGTCTTCATCCAAGCAGCTGGAATCAATTGTGCAACTGTCTGCAGGGTTACAACAAAAGCCGGTCAGTGTATGGCTAAACATATCTATCTACATGTGAGCGTATAGGCACAAGCATCTTAAAGTCTACTCAGGAATGGATTTTTTTTCAATAGGATTCCACTGATTTCTTATACTTACGTGGGAGCAAATACATCAGAAAATTGACACAGAGAAGCGTAGAGGTACAAGCCTTCCAAACCAAAACACATTGGAGCTTTCCAAAAATATGATATCTTTGTAATCTTTGCCTGAGAACGTATGACAGGTCTTGTCTACTCTTCTATGACTGCCCTTGTATGCTCCACCATGACAACACTTGTATGCTCCACCATATTAGCCCTTGTATGCTCCACCATGATAGCCCTTGTATGCTCCACCATGATAGCCCTTGTATGCTCCACCATGATAGCCCTTGTATGCTCCACCATGATAGCCCTTGTATGCTCCACCATGATAGCCCTTGTATGCTCCACCATGATAGCTCTTGTATGCTCCACCATGATAGCCCTTGCATGCTCCACAATGACAGCCCTTGTATGCTCCACCATGACAACCCTTGTATGCTCCACTATGACAGACCTTGTATGCTCCACTATGACAGCCCTTGCATGCTCCAATATGACAACCCTTGTATGCTCCACTATGACAGACCTTGTATGCTCCACTATGACAACACTTGTATGCTCCACTATGACAACACTTGTATGCTCCACTATGACAGCCCTTGTATGCTCCACCATGACAACCCTTGTATGCTCCACCATGACAGCCCATGTATGCTCCACCATGACAACCCTTGTATGCTCCACCATGACAGCCCATGTATGCTCCACCATGACAACCCTTGTATGCTACACCATAATAGCCCTTGTATGCTCCACCATGATAGTCCTTGTATGCTCCACCATGATAGCCCTTGTATGCTCCACCATGATAGCCCTTGTATGCTCCACCATGACAGCCCTTGTATGCTCCACCATGGCAGTCCTTGCATGCTCCACCATGACAGCCCTCGTATGCTCCACCATGACAGCCCTTGTATGCTCCAATATGACATCCCTTGTATGCTCCAATATGACAGCCCTTGTATGCTCCAATATGACAGCCCTTCTTACATTTAGTATACTCATTTGTATTGAGATTGTAGTCCATCATGGGAGTGAGCTTGGAGCTGTAACTACTTTACAACACACACAGGGACCATGGGGAACAAAAGTAACCACCCTCCAGAAGGAAGGACAGTGTCAGCACCAATTCAGAGATGATTTGAGGATCTACAGCCGTGTGATACACAAATAAGGTACATTATTGTTAATAGTTAAGGTACTTGATTGCATTTTTAAGATTTAACTTCTGAGTTTAGTGCCACTTTAAGAAAACGCGTGCAGTCTTCTAGGTTTCAAAGATTGACGAAATTCATACAAAAGATGTTACACGCTTACTTTAAGGTTTGGAAGGGGATGACTGAGGTTCTCTTTAAAGTTTATTTTTTGTTAAAAGAAGATTTGTTTTAAAATAATCCATTGTCTTCCTCCCTTATTAAAAAATTGTACTGTGAGCCCAGGTCAATGGGGTGATCCAGAGGCAGGATCCATGACAGCCAGGACAGGAAGTGGGCTGAATGACACTAGCCACCATTCAACCTATCGGAGGACTGTTGGTGGAGAGGACTTTCTGTGGCAGACACTGCTGGAGACAAGGTCAATATTGCATCAAAACCTGCATGTTTAATTCGTACATATCTTGGGCAAATTACCTAAAATATATATTTAACTGGAGCTTCAATATGACCAAATGTAAAATTCCCCTTGCCTTGAGAAATGTCATTGACCTTGCAGCAGAGAACTAGGCATGTGTGTGTATCTAGTTCTCACACCAGCAGCCAAACTATTAATGGAGTTACGGTCTGGGTAACTGATGCATACTGACGCTACTAAACATGGTCTGAGCATCTAAGCTTTAAAAAAAACTTCTGGTCACATGAAGGTTAATACACCAGCTTTTTCCCTTTCCCGACATGCAGTGTTTTTACCGTTCTATAGGTAGATAAATGATGGTCAATTTACTTACCGTCATTGCAGCATACTCCTGGAGCGGCACACCGACCTCCGGCACTGCAAGGCTTTCCGCCAGCCTCGCAGGGGGAGGGTATGTAGTTTTCTTCCACACAGCGCAGCGTCTCTGGGGTGCCAATATAACATCCAAAGTCTTCTCCGCAACAGATGTTTGGTCCAAAGCAATTGCCTCTGTTCCCCGGGCCGCATGGTATACACTGCAAGGAAATAAAACCATCACCAGCGCCATTAACATGATGCACTGCAAGCTTATAACAGTTCTATCCCTCCGACAAACTCCATGAAGAAGTGAGATCCACTCTGTATGGAAATCAAATGATCTCTCTGTGACCGGTTTAGTGAGAAAGAGCACAGCAGCACTTGCCACTTACATTCCTCACATAGCAGCCGCAGATATGGAGGGGGGGAATATTTTTTGAAACATTTATGTGCTTTCTGATAACAAACATTTGCATGAAAGCAGACTGCACACTCGGCAAATCTAAATACATCATATATCACATCAAGGGACATTTTATAGACTTATTTTGAAACAGTAGATCGGTTTCATATTGTCAACCTTTAGGCTCACCATACAAGTTACTATCTGACCGTACAATCTCTGTACAATCAATAAATCAATATAACAATATATCAACCATAAAAATAAGATAAATCAATCTTAGCATCACCCTACATGTAACATTCTGACTATACAATTTTTGTACAATTAAATTAGATAAATCCAAATTATGTACTTTGAGGACCCACCTAGACTAGACAATTCACATCCAATCAGGAAGGCCATTGCACTACATAGTTGTTGGTAGATCTAAAGGAGATTGTACAATCGGATTGTAGCCTGTGTGAGGCGCTTAAGTTAAACTTGTTCTTTCCCCCATGAACAGTTTCTCACTCACAAACTGTCCACATAACTGTAGTAATTATATATCATCTATTATAATATATTGTGGCTGCAGCAACTAATTTTTAAAGTGTGACCTTTAATTCATTAAATGGGTTTGCCTCCCTGAACTCCCCCACAAAGTCAATGGGCCTCTATGTTTGGAGGGTTTCATTACCCCCCACCGCCATTCTTGCCTAGAATAGTGTCCTGCTCCTGCAGCATCCTGATTAGGGAATCAGTCTACACTGGGAGTTATATAGTAAAATATATTTCTTCAGTGAAACATATGTATATATGCAAAAATAAATGTTCCTTAGTTGTTTTTTTAAAAGGGAATGCATTTCTGAATGTTTTCTTTTCATGTAATACCACATTATGGTCACTAGATGGCGTTGAGTTGCAGAGAAGATAACTACTTATTTCCTGTGCTCCTTTAGCGCTATCTAGTGGCCATGATGTGGTATTACATGAAAAGAAAACATTCAGAAATGCATTCCCTTTTAAAGAAATTACATAAAAAACATTACAAAATGCAATGCACCCGTAAAGAACTAAATTAATTAATATTCATTTTGGAATATATTTGCAAATGGCAAATGTTCTCAGATATTCGCAGGGTAAATGGCCCTGCAAATTGCTTATGAATAGTCCCTTAACTCTATGCATGACAGCACACTAAAATGCATTATAGCGCATAGGAACGCAAAAAGACGCAATCCATCCTATTTTTTTGCAGCGCACACAAACACAGCGCGTTGGTGTTAACTGAAATAGAAGGAAATTAGGCAAATTGCTTTGTCTATGCATTGGGCAACGTTGCTCAGTTTAGCCCAATGAGGCTGGAGTGTACCAAATCTTCATATAGCCAAAATCAGTTTAGTTTTTGTACAAGATTGTTCCTAATTGCCCAAACATTTGCAAATAAACATCAAGTGCAGACCTTCACTTTACAGGTAAATGAATAAACTTCAGATTTATAAGTGCGTCATAGACGTAAGACAGAAACAGGCAGTCTACAGATGGTGGAACTATAAATACCAACATGCATCCATAGCTAGGACTTGTAGTTCTACATAGAGGACTTGCTATTATAAAGAAGATGGGATAATTTGGGGTTCCCAGCTGTTGTGAGCCATCAGTTCATGTATAGTATGCTGGGACCTGTAGTTCTATGGCAGTTAGGCAATGATCTTTTCAAGGTATCTTTCCATCTTTGGTAATGTCCAGCAAGCTGGAAGTTGTCCACAAACAAAGAACAAATTGCTTATTTGCAGTCATGGTTTAATCTCACTTGCTATTCCACAGCAGCTGAGCAGTCAGTAGTCTCCATACATTGCCAGGCTGTAAGTTCTAGTATGATGGGACTAATCCGGGTCCTACATTTTATAGCAATTGGGACCATTTTAAATCACAGAAGCAATGCAGTGGATGTGTATGTGGACAGCATGGAATTTCAAAACAGATTTTTAATATGTGTTCTTTCAGCTTTGGTGAACCTACAAGATCCAGTGCAGTTGCCTTTACACCATAAGCTATTGTGGACTTTAATTTCCAGCATGCTGGATCTTGTACATCAAATGCAGCTAAATAGCTGGTGGTGCCCCTCTGTTACTAGAGTACAGGTTCCAACTCACTCTGACTTGAGGTTGTGCAAGCTGGGCAACGTATGGCTTTGCAGCGATCTTAGGACTATCAATTCTCAAATGCTGGGACTTGGGGTTCTACAGCTGTTATGGAACTGCAGGTTTGGGCATACAGGGACCTACAGTTCTTGCTGAAAAACTGTAGCTTTGTGGTCATAGAAAAGTTCTTTCAGTATGACAGGAGCTTCCACATTATTTAGACAGCATCACATGGTTCTCCAGCTATGGCTGTACTACAAAGCTCATCATTCTGAAACCTATAGTTCTACAACTGCTAGGCATCACATGGTTCTCCAGCTATGACTGTACTACAAAGCTCATCATTCTGAAACCTATAGTTCTACAACTGCTAGGCATCACATGGTTCTCCAGCTATGACTGTACTACAAAGCTCATCATTCTGAAACCTATAGTTCTACAACTGCTAGGCATCACATGGTTCTCCAGCTATGACTGTACTACAAAGCTCATCATTCTGAAACCTATAGTTCTACAACTGCTAGGCATCACATGGTTCTCCAGCTATGACTGTACTACAAAGCTCATCATTCTGAAACCTATAGTTCTACAACTGCTAGGCATCACATGGTTCTCCAGCTATGACTGTACTACAAAGCTCATCATTCTGAAACCTATAGTTCTACAACTGCTAGGCATCACATGGTTCTCCAGCTATGACTGTACTACAAAGCTCATCATTCTGAAACCTATAGTTCTACAACTGCTAGGCATCACATGGTTCTCCAGCTATGACTGTACTACAAAGCTCATCATTCTGAAACCTATAGTTCTACAACTGCTAGGCATCACATGGTTCTCCAGCTATGACTGTACTACAAAGCTCATCATTCTGAAACCTATAGTTCTACAACTGCTAGGCATCACATGGTTCTCCAGCTATGACTGTACTACAAAGCTCATCATTCTGAAACCTATAGTTCTACAACTGCTAGGCATCACATGGTTCTCCAGCTATGACTGTACTACAAAGCTCATCATTCTGAAACCTATAGTTCTACAACTGCTAGGCATCACATGGTTCTCCAGCTATGACTGTACTACAAAGCTCATCATTCTGAAACCTATAGTTCTACAACTGCTAGGCATCACATGGTTCTCCAGCTATGACTGTACTACAAAGCTCATCATTCTGAAACCTATAGTTCTACAACTGCTAGGCATCACATGGTTCTCCAGCTATGACTGTACTACAAAGCTCATCATTCTGAAACCTATAGTTCTACAACTGCTAGGCATCATATGGTTCTCCAGCTATGGCAGTACTACAAAGCTCATCATTCTCAAACCTATAGTTCTACAACTGCTAGGCATTACATGGTTCTCCAGCTATGGCAGCACTACAAAGCTCATCATTCTCAAACCTATAGTTCTACAACTGCTAGGCATCACGTGGTTCTCCAGCTATGGCAGTACTACAAAGCTCATCATTCTCAAACCTATAGTTCTACAACTGCTAGGCATTACGTGGTTCTCCAGCTATGGCAGCACTACAAAGCTCATCATTCTGAAACCTATAGTTCTACAACTGCTAGGCATCACGTGGTTCTCCAGCTATGGCAGTACTACAAAGCTCATCATTCGGAAACCTATAGTTCTACAACTGCTAGGCATTACGTGGTTCTAAAGCTGTAGTAGTAGATCCATTAATCTCATCTATCTAGAACAATTCTACAATGGCTAGGCATCATGAAGTTCTCGAGCTGTGGTAGACCCATGAATCTCATCATTCTAGGACAATTCTACAACTACGTATCATGAGGTTCTCAAGCTGTGGTGGAACCACAAATTTCAACTTTCTGAGACTAATAGTTCTACAACTGAGAGCCATCATGTGGCTTTTCAGCTGTGGTGGAACCACAAATCTCATCCTTTTAAAACATAGAGGTCTACTATTGCTAGTCATTATGGGGTTCTCCAACTATGGTAGAACTATGAATCTCATCCTTCTGAAACGTATAGTCCTACAGCTGCTAGGCATCATGTGGTTCTTCAGCTGTGATAGACCCATAAATTTCATCTTTCTGAGACTTACAATTCTAGAACTGGCGTCAAGCACTCCTCAAGCTGTTGTGGAACTAAGAATCTCATCTTTATGAAATATATTGCTCTACAAATGCTAGGTATCATGTTGTTTTCTAGTTGTATGCAATGCATCATGTATTGAAATGCAAATTTCATGTTTATGCAAATTATACCACATTATATATTACAATGCTACATTTGCTAGGCATCCTATGGTTCTCCACCTATAGTGGAATTTCAGAGCTCATCGTTCTGAGACTTAAAGTTCTACAACTGCCAGGCACCATGAGGCTCTCCAGCTAGAGCAGAGCCACACATCTAATCTTCCTGAGACTTATAGTTCTACAACTGCCAGACACCATGAGTTTCTCCAGCTATAGCAGAGCCACACATCTAATCCTGCTGAGACTTATAGTTCTACAACTTCCAGGCACCATGAGGTTCTCCAGCTATAGCAGAGCCACACATCTAATCTTCCTGAGACTTATAGTTCTACAACTGCCAAGCACCACGAGGCTCTCCAGCTAGAGCAGAGCCACACATCTAATCCTGCTGAGACTTATAGTTCTACAACTGCCAGGCACCATGAGGTTCTCCAGCTATAGCAGAGCCACACATCTAATCTTCCTGAGACTTATAGTTCTACAACTGCCAGGCACCATGTGGTTCTCCAGCTGAGCTGCAACTTATAGTTCTACAGCTACTAGGCATCATGTGATACTCCAGCTGAGGTGGAACTACAAATCCGATCATTCTAAGGCATATTTCTACAGCTGCTGGGCATCATGTGGCCCTACAGCTGAGCTGCAGCTACAAATCTGATCTTTCTGGAACTTATAGTTCTACCAATGCCGGCCATCATGTGGTTCTCCAGTGGAGGTGGAAATACAAGTCTCATCTTTCTGGAGCTTACAGTTCTACAACTCCAAGTTATCATGTAGTTCTCCAAGTGAAGCAGAATTACAAATCTCCTTTGTCTGAAACATACTGTTCTACAACTGTTTGGCATCAATTGGTTCTTCAGCTGAGATGGAACTACAAGTCTCATCATTCTAAGACGAATAGTTTACAACTGTGGTTCCCCAGCTGAGGTGGAACTACAAATCCAATCATTATAGGACTTATAGATCCACAACCTCTAGGCATCATGCTATCCATCTGTGGTGGAACTACAAGATCTAGCATGCCCTTCTAGCCGCAGATGTAATTACATATACTACAAAGCATGAAAGAAGAAGCAATTGGAGGAATCTGATACTGCACCTGTCGCACTTCTGTGTCTGGGTAGGACCTCTTGCCTCCTCTGGGGCAGTTCTGGATGTAGCAGGCTGAGGATAAGGCGAGGAGGCACAGGAAGCAAGCGGGAACCGAGGTGTCAGGCATACTGACAGTCTGGAGGTGCAGCAGGCGAGTTGTAGGAAGAGAGACTGCTTGTGCAAAGCTGAGGCTGGATGCAATGCTTTCTCCACCTGCCTCAGCTCCCTATTTATACCCCATTCTTTTATTCCTAATGTCGACGTAATTGTTTGTGTCCTATTGTTGTGCAGCCTGTGTTTAGCATCCAAACAATGAGTGACAAGCAATTAACAGAGTCAGGCAAGTCATCCATCTCCGTCATTAGTAGACCTCAGTCAAGGCTCTGTGATCCAACCTCAGTAGTACTATTTTATAATTGTGGTATTAAAATAAAAAAAGTGTACTACAGCTATGTAAATCAATTTGCAATAATGTTATATAATGCTTGTGCCTATACTCAATGCATACAGAAAAATGCATAATAATGTGGAGAAAGATTACTTCATTGTAGCATACTTGAGCCAAGGAGAAGTATCCATTCTGAAGTTATTCTGCCATTGCTGAGTAATCAGCAGTGTGAAAAAAAGAGTTTTGTAAAACCTTCATCATACATGTTTATAGCGAGAGTCTGCTTGGAGATAGGAGGTCTGGTCAGCACAGTGCAAAGTCGGTGCCGCAACAGTTGCTTCAGCTTCTAAAAAAAAATCAAACTGATAGTTTTTATGCAAGAATATAAAAACTCCTAGGGGCCGATTTACAACCCTTTTCTGCCTTTAACACGGCACTACCGCCAATAGATGGCATCAGGGAGCATAGGATTTCCTATGCTATTTCCTATGCTCCTCACCGCCATCTAGTGGGGAACTCAGTTCCTCTTATGGAAAAATATGAATTCTCTCAGGGGCTGATTTATGACTTTTCCACCCAGTGTACAGGTGGACGATTGCCTTGTGCACGGCTCTACTGCTGTTAGATAGTGCCAAGGAGCATAGGAATTTTCCTGGGCTCCTCAGCTCCATCTAGTGGCAGAACTGCATGTTCCTCTCATGAGAGAATGTCAGTTCTCTTAGGAGCTGATTTCTAACTCTTCGACACAGTGTACAGGTGTGCAAATGCATTTTCCACAGCTCTACTGCCTCTAGATGGCGCTAGGGAGTATACAAAATTCCATGGGCTCCTCAGCTCCATCTAGTGGCAGAACTGCACGTTCCTCTCATGAGAGAATATCAGTTCTATTAGGAGCTGATTTCTAACTCTTTGACACAGTGTACAGGTGTGCAAATGGCTTTTCCACAGCTCTACTGCCTCTAGATGGCGCTAAGGAGTATAAAAAATGTCATGGGCTCCTCAGCTCCATCTAGTGGCGGAGCTAACAGTTCCTCTTATGCAAAAATATGAATTCTCTTAGGGGCTAATTTATTACTTTTTCACCCAGCGTATATAGCTGCCCAAATGCCTTTCACTTAGCACTACCATCTCTAGGTGACTCCAAGGAGCATATGCTCCTCAGCTCCATCCAGTGGCAGAACTACAAGTTCATCTTATGGAAGAATATGTGTTCTCTTAGGGGCTGATTTAGAAGGTAAATGCCTTTCACATGAAACTTCTGCCACCTGATGGCGCTGAGGGGCAAATGAGTTTCCCATGCTCTTCAGTGCCATCTATTGGTGGCAGTGTTGTGCGAAATGCCTTCCCCCAGCTATACTCTGGGCAGAAGCATTATAAATCAGCCCCTTAAAGTAGATCAATACCAAATCAGATACATATCATAGAAGCTTTTCCATAATATTATTATTATTCTTATTATTTTCCTATGTTATATGCAATTTTCATTCAACTAATACTTGGTGATCCTGCCATGAAGATTCTGCAGCAGACTCTCATTTGTGCTCCAGCATTGTTTGACTGAGACTACAACCCCCATGCAGAAATACATTACAGGCGTGGTATACTGTTGTACCTTTCTGGAAGCCAGTCCAGAGCAGCTGGATCTTGGAGCAAGTACATGTAGACGGGAACTGGCTGAAAGAGGCCAGAGGAGATCAGCAGCAGTGAGGTGCAAAAAAAGGATTTACAACAGTTAAAAAAACAGTATTTTATGAGAAATAACATGGACATTGTTTATAATGCACGGAGCTACAGCAAACTAAATGCCATCCAGTTAAGGTTTAGATATACTCTAAAGTGGACCTGAATAAAAAGAAATATACACATTTTAAAAAAGAAAAAATTATAATAATAACATTAAAAAAAATAACAAAAATAATAATAATAAATAACTAAATAAAATGTTATTATAGGGAACAGCTAGAAATGTTAATTGTGTTTAAGCAGTACCCTGAAAATTAGTACCCAGGGGTGTCCCTAGCCTTTTCGCGGGGTGGTGGGCGGGGAAGCGGGTGTTGTGCTGGTGGTACAAGCTAACGAACAGGGGCTGGTGGCCTTTGTATCATCCTCCGGCCAGCAGGACGCTGGCCAGAGTGTCCCAGGTTGCTAAGAGCTAGGTGGACAGATATGTATGGCCCTT